ATTTTTATGTTGCGCAATATTAGCGCAACTCCTTATTAAACCCCAATATTTAGTGAAAAATTTAATTAAATGCCCCAAAACACAACAAAATACCCATTATTTTAATGAAATATAAAAGATGAGGTTACAACGAGTAAAACGATACCCAACATGCCATAGAAGACGCTTTAATAACCCCCACAGGTCCTCAATTTAGAGAAACCCCAAAATACTGGCCCTAGAATTATTGCTCATGTGTAGCGCGTTTGTCGTTTTCATACGTAGGCGCACCCGACGCGTGTTTACGTAGCGACGCGCGTGCTCACGGGGGCGGGGGACTTTTACATTATTATTAGATTTATTTATTTATTTTAAAAAACTTTTTTTTTTTACTTTACTTTGACTGCTATCACATAGGGGGGCTTACAAGCCCCCCATGTGATAGCAGATGGTGGCGACAGGTACTCTTTAAGTTGATGCTGGGGGTCCAAAAGACCCCCAGTGTCACCTTTACACTGGAAATAACATATGTGCTACATAGAGTTACAATTCTCCCCTGCTAAAATGAATGGATTAAATGATCCCTAGTACAACTACATGTTATGTACTATGGACCATTTAACCCATATTAGCAGGGGAGAATTGTAACTCTATCGTCTGCAGTGTATACTCTATATGTAGCACATATGGAGCATACACTGCAGACAAAAGTTTTACAATTATTCTCTACTAATACTAAAATGTTCTTAATAGGGACCCCCCCCTCCACTCACTGTTCTGATGATGGCTGGTGCCTCGCTGGTGAGCTAGTCAGCGCTGGTCTGGTGGGAGGAGCTCCAAGTGGGGTCCTAATTTTGTGGTATATTAAGCTTAGGGTAACGGGAGGATGCTAGTTTGTGTCTTCCCGTTACCCCAAGGAGAACTATGGGGAAAAACACTGACCCCATAGTTCTCCTTTAATGCCTTAAAAATGCTTGCTGAATGCCTTGTATTTACAGGAGCGTTAATCAGCATTGCTCTTTCATTACATTCTCAGCACACGTTAATGAACCCTCAATGTGTCATCCTGCAGTGAACTTGTTAGAAGCTGCATGATATTGATAATTCTACAGAAAAGGGCTTATAGATTTACCAGTTTAAAATGTAATTTTTGGTAAATTACAACACTTTTAAACTGTAAAAATTTACATTTTAAAACTGTTAACTGAAAAGTTGTATTTTTAACATAATTTTTGTTGCAACCACACGTAACATAGTTTAAAACCAGAAAAAAGATGCTGAATTTACAGGTTAAACATGTATATAACTGTAAATTGCACAGTTTAAATCTGTAAAGTTGTTTACCGTTTTAATGGTTTTTTTTTTTACAGAATTGTTCTGGCATCCACAGCTGGCAGATTTTTTCTGTAAAAACAGGATTTTTTTTAGTGTAGTAAATAGTTTCTGAACTAATGGGAAGCCTGTTTCTTTGTGTCCTCAATTTCTTTTTCTATCCATTTTTGCAGATCGCACTGGACCGGAACACACCTGGTGTACATTATGGGTTGGTGTGGGGCTTTTTTTTATTTTTAATAATTTTTGATTATTTTACTTTACTGTTACAAGCTTTTGAAATAGAAAAAGAGATTGAGGACACAGAGTCCTCAATCTCCTTTTATCCAGCCCCAGCACTCAATGAACAGGAGCACACAATACAGAGGCTTCCTGTTCATTCACAAACTCAGGAGGCATAGTACTCTCTAGAGCTGCAACCAACTAATCGAGAATGAGAATAGTTGTCAACTATTCTCATTCTCGATTAGTTGATTGGATCCCCTAGCTCTCTCCTCCCCTGTAGACAGCAGCTGAATGTAAACACAGCAGGTAGTGGGCAGGTGCAATAGCCAGCTTGCTATTGGAATTTGAAATGGCCAATAGCAGGCTGGCTATTGCACCAGCCCAATACCTGCTGTATTTACAGTCAGCTGCTGTCTGCGGAATCTTGCCACTGGCAGCTGTTCCCTGGTTGAAGCTATTTAAGCGCCATGTGCTTACAATACAATTAATTAAAAATAAATAAATATATTATTTAAAAAAAAAAAAATGTGCAAAAGTCATTTTCAGTTTTGGCCTGACAAATTCTGCTGCAGGATGCGCCATTCATTTCAATTGGACCCCAAACGTCCCTCTTACCCAGTGCGATACCCCACACTGGAATGCATGGTACTGCAGTGCCGTGCGTTACAGTGCATTGTGATTCCAAAAAAAGTGTGCATGCAGTTTTATTCTGAAGTAAGCTTTATGTTTGTAACACTGCATTTGTGTATTTTATCTTAAATTAAGGATGGTATTTCATTTTTTTTATACAATTAATCGAAAAAATAAAATTGGACAACTAATCCGATTATGAAAATAATCATTAGTTGCAGCCCTGGTACCCTCCCCAGTTATGAATGGACATGGAGCCTCTGTACTGTTCATTCATAAACTGAGCACATAGTGATGTACAGCACTTCCTGTTCATAACTGCTGACATAGTAATCACTTACTGTGGCCTCAGTTATTTACAAGCACTGAGTTAATAGTACGGATTGCTCAGTATTTATGCACTGCTCTCCATCCTGACTGCTTGAACCCCTCCCACCGGTCGCCAGTAGCTAGATCACCTCTGTGTCCCCACCGATCTGCTTTCTTGTTTTCGTACGTAGGCACACCAGACACGTGTTTTTCACAGCTTCCAGCATTTAAAAACACAAAACATAGGGAAATGTACATATATTGCATCAATGGACCTTTTATTTTGCCAAAACTACACTTTAATGCAGGTCTATACCCAAAAGCAAAAATGAAATATATTGCCGTTTACTAGTCCTTAGATGTGCTAGCTGGATTGTCTTTTGTTCTTTTAGGCTTTTCCCCCTTATTTTCACCTGGCGATTCAAGTAAGTCTGTTATTTTTCACCTTCCTGTCCAGGAAAATGGCAGCTAGAGGGTTGAGACAAACCATTTAACATTGACAGGGGGTAGCCATAATGGTTAGTTTTCTCATTTACGTAAAACCTTTATGCCAAAAGGAAAAAATAAAAACTCCTGCTGTAAACATGTTAAGTGGAGTTCGGCTTCCATACCAAGCCCATATAGATCTCCTAGTGCATCTAGCACTACCATCTGCATAGGTTAACAATGTTGCTGTCCAAGGGTGGCTCTGCTGTTACTACAAAAAGTAACAGCAGCTAAGAGGAAGTGTGTTACTGGCACAGTTTCATGCAATTAACGCATCGGACCATGCATTAAAGAGGACATCAATAGCTAGAGAAGCAAGACAACTGAAGTGCTGTCAGATCTGCTACTCTCCCCATAGAAGTGTGTTAATAACAAACAGCTTTTAACAGTTGCTGTTGCAACTGCAATGCAGTTTAGAAAGTCAAATGAATGCCAAGTGGTCAACTGTAGGTCAAATGCACCTGTGAAAAGACTTGGTTCTCAGAAGAATATGAAATTACTTTCAAGTGCAAGCGCGAATGCTCCTGAAACCAAGCTGCATTTGCCTTTCAACACAGATCCTAAGAATGTCAGCCCCAAGAGCTGCACCTTTGCCCATTCACACCGCTGCTGTGTTTTCTTGCAAAGTACCTTGTGATTAATGCACACTGCCCCACAACACACAGTATGTGTGTTATCGTGAGGCAGGTGCATGGTCATTCATTTTAATGGCCCCCCCAACACAGTTCCCCACCACATTGCATGGTACAGCAATACCATACATTTTGGAGTAAACAGAAGTGCATGCAATACTTTTTTTACCCCACAATGCATGGTATTGCAGTACTGCGGGTTGAGGTACGGTTGAGCTCACTGCAGCCAGGTGCATTGGGGTGCCATTCAGGTGATTGGCAACACACCGGCTGCACGGTATAATGAAAAATACACACTGCAGGGGTGAGAACAGGCCCAAAAAGCAATCAACCGCAGCTTACATGTTCCCACTCTCAAAGCTTCTTTAATTCTACTACCATACTACTGACAGAATAACCCTCCTTCTGCAATGAAAATATTGCAACACAATAGTACTTTAACTTAAAAAAAAATAGATCTATAGATATCTATATATATATAGGGCTTGAAAAATCCACTCGTCCTCGACGGCGGAGTCCAATAAGTAGCTTCTCTGCCGGCCGTAGTAATTACCCGCGATCCATTGTGCCCGATGCGGCCAGGACCAGCATGGCTGCCCTGTGACAGGAGATCAATCAGTCCACGAATGTATATTACATCACTTCAGCATTCCTCTGTCACGCTCTAGCTTCAGAAGCCGGTGAAGCAGATCTCTGCTTCATCAGCTTCTCTGGGGGTCCCTAGGTGATATTAGGGGTCTTGGAGACCCCTGAAGTCTCCATAAAGAGGACCTGTCATGCAAATTGGCTATCACATAGGGGGTTTCTTAGCCCCCTATGTGATAGCAATAAAGTTGTATATATAAAAAAAAAATGTAAGTCCCCCCTACATAGACACGCAAATATGCGTCAGGTGCGCCTACGTGCGAAGACTACGATTGCGCCTATGTTCCAAACGTCGGAGTGAGAGCAATAATTTTAGGGCCATCAATCACTGATAACACTAAACTGATGAGCAATAAAAGCGTTTTAAGCGTCGCCCATGGCCAATTTTCAGTGTGGTTGTTTTTTGCGAGCGCGCACAATTTTAAGGCTTGACATGTTTGGTGTCTATTTACCCGACGTGACCCCTTTTATAGTTTACCAAAAATATGGTTAAGAATAGTTTTAACATAACGTAGGGAATTTTTTTTTTAAATTTACGGTACTTTTTTATTATATAGTAAAAAAATAACCCCCCAGTGAGTATTATATACCACCAAAAGAAAGCTCTGTGTCCCCCCAAAAATGTTACATACATTTCAAGGCTATAGTGCGGTCATGCTGACGGGTGAAATTTTTGACTGACTGGTGACACCCTAAAATGTTTCAAGCCCTGTATATATATCTATATATAGATAAATCTTTATATAGATATAAATACATTTGCTAGTTCTTAATTTTCTTGTTTGGAACAAAGTCATTTAGTTTAGATTTCATGCCAGGGAGGTAGGTTCGCATGCGCACAGCAGTTTCAATTGTTTGCACTTGTTCAACATCCCAAGAATGAGTGACAAAACTCAATACACTGCCTTGACTTCTACTCCCAACACGGCCAACCCTTCCTGCTCTGTGCAAGTAGTCCTCTATAGTGAACGGAAAATCAAAGTTAACCACAGTTCCTACTCTGCAACTGTCAAGCCCCCTGGATGCTATGTTTGTGCAAACCAACACATCAGTTTGCCCTTTCTGAAAAGCTTCAAATATACCAAGCCGCATTTCAGCAGGCATTTGGCCATGAAGACGGGTGTGCTTGATGCCATGGTCATCCAATATGTAGCTAAGCCAGTTAACAGTTTTTGAAGTATTACAAAAAATAAAAATTCCAGACATATGTTTTTCTGCAGCATGTTGCTTTAGCATTTGCAATACTTCAGGGACTTTGTCTGCTCCTGTAACCTTCTTAAAGGTGTGTTGCACATGGGGCATAAGTAAATGCAGCTTCCCACTCTTGATTATGTGGATACTGCCCAGATCCATCACTTTGCTGAGAATTTCTCCAACCCCTTTTGGAACTGTAGCGCCAATAATCGCAAACTGGGCTTTCCTGTCATGACCTTGTGCTTCCTTGGCATGGGAAGCTATCTGAGTATGCATGAGAATGCTTTCAACAAAATAACAGAAAGTTTTGTCGAAAAGTGTATCAGCTTCATCTAAAACAATGTATTGAAGGTCTGTTAAAGAAATTTTATTCCAATTCAGACCTTTCCAAAGAATTCCTGGAGTAGCAACTAATAGATCAACAGACACCCCTTTGAGCTGCTTCTCAGTTACTCTTCGACCTCGTCCCCCTCCCAAAAAATGCACTGTAATTCCAAGATGGGAGCCAAGCCTGCGAGCCACTGAAGTCACCTGACCAGCAAGTTCCCTGGATGGTACTAAAACTAAACTGCGAGGGTTCCCCGAACAATACTCATTCTGAGTCAGAAGCTTGTGCATAATAGGGAGCAAATAGGCCAGGGTTTTTCCGCTGCCAGTCTCTGATGCACATAACACGCTCCGGCCTCGGAGTAGACTGGGGATAACCTCCTTCTGCGCCCAAGTGGGTGTAGTGATGTTCGATGCCTCCAGAGCTAAGACCACTCTCAGATCCAGGTTGAGAGCACGAAATGTGTCTTCTGTCTCCGGCCACACACGATGCTCCCGTTGACGGTTAATGGTGAAATAATCTCCGCAAGAAGTGCGATGCTTCCATCCTCTGCTCACCAACGTGGGGTTTTCCCACCTGCTATATGTCTCCATAGATGCCTGATTGAGCTCCCGCCTGCGAGTGCTTATCAGAAGTTTACCGGCCTTCGGAGCCACAAGTGGTCTAATGTGGCGTTTTTCCAACCATAGTTGTGTACGTCGGGCGACTCGAATTACAGGCATTTTACAGGTGGCGAATAACCGCCAAAGTCCGATCTTCGGACACCAAGCCCGTAAGAACATTGACGACCCAATAACTGGCATGGCATACGCACTCTCTCGGAAACCCGGTGTTCTTTCGAAAGTCCCAATTTATCGAGTTCTCGGACCGCCTCACTTCCGGTTTTGTTAGAGGTTTGGCCAAGAAAAAACGGCTTCTCGGGCGCACGGGAAATGACGTAACGCTCACATGTGCTGTTGTAGTGGTCGTTGTGCTTTTTTAAGGTGGAACGTTTTGGAAAATTTCTTGAAGGTAGGTGCAGGTGTCTCACTGAATGTGAATGAATAATGTAGACTGCAAAAGTTAGAAACGTGGGATAAGACAAATTGGATCAATTCCAGAAGAAAGTTAGCTTGCCCTCAATTGAAGGTACCACAGGAGACTAAAAAATGTTGGACCGCCCTTAACCCAAATTTGTGCTCAATAGATGCGTATAAGGACGCTACGTCTAGTGAGACCCAGGGATATTTTTCATGCCACTTGTAATGTAATATATCCAACATGTGTTGGAGTGGGGTAGCGGGATGTAGGGGAAATAGATACTTGAATTCAGTTTTTGAAATAATTCCTTTGGTCTCTAGCCCTATTTAGCAATTTGTAGAGCTCCTTTTTGTATTGTTGTGAAGGATTTTTTCATAGCTTAAGCCCGGTTCACGCCTGGGCGTTTTGTAGCACGTTCCTACGCTCTGCAAAACGCTCAAACACCGAAAACCCATTATTTCCTATGGGTATGGTTCACACCTGGGCGTATTACAGGCCGTATGAACGCGCTACAAAACGCCCTACGCTCAAAGAAGTACAGGAGCTTTTTTGGGGCGTATTTGCCGCGCGTATCCATTGGGATAAAGCCTGTTAGCCCTCGGAAATGCGCATTTGTCGCACGTTTTTTTTACCGCGATTCGCGCGGCACATGCGCATTCCTCAGCACCAGTCAGGCTGTGTTCACACCTAGGCGTATCGAATATGCGCGTTTGTCGCACGTTTTTACCGCGATTCACAGCCTGCGCGTTTCCGAGGGCTACCTGGCTGTATCCCAATGGATACGTGCGGTAAATACGCCCCAAAGAAGCTCCTGTACTTCTTTGGGCGTAGGGCGTTTTGCAGCGCATTCCTACGTGCTGTAAAACGCCCAGGTGGGAACCATGCCCATAGGCAATCATTGGTTTTCACATGTTGAGCGTTTTACAGAGCGTAGGAACGTGCTGTAAAACGCCCAGGTGTGAACCAGGCCTCAGGCTTAAAACCATGTTTAGCATTCAGGTGAAGTGTCAAGTCACCTGCTGGATCCACATTTGTGTCAAAATTTGTACAGTATTAGCAGCTTTTCATTTATTATCTTGCAATAAAAAAATTTCTGTGCACTGTGAGTGTACAAATAAACCCGTTAAGATCTATGAAAAGTTGGCATTAGTCCAGGAATGCTGTAGGAGCAAAACTCAGACCCTTTTAGAGTACAGATGTTTGCGCCTCACTTAATGTGTTTTGGGATAAATTAAAAAATTTTTTACTCAAAAACAAAAAGAAAAACAAAATAAAACTCCTAGTACTCCTAGAATCATCATGCACTTTCTGTTTTATTCTCCTTCTCTTTTGGGTTTTTTTTGCCACTTCTACATCCTCTTCTAATTTCCTTTTTCCAAGTAATCTTTCAGGGCAGCACGTGGGATAATATCAACCCACCTAAAACAGGAAAGACATCATCCACAATTAAAATAAAAGGGGCAGTACTGCACCACCACCTCAGTTTATTGTGTTTCCTCTGGCCTAACAGGAGCATCGTAACCATTTCTTATTTTGTCCATAGGCCTACGTGCTAGTTGCAGGGGCCTCCCACTGTATGCTCCCCGGTGAATCAGGGACAGTGGACCTGGGGGGTTGCATGCCTGGGCTTGTCCTGGGATTAACCTCCAGGTTATCCTGTTATGGGACCCTCCCTCCCCATCTATCCCTGAGGTTTCTTATCCGCCTTGAGGAAAACCAACCATCCCTGGGTGCATATTGGCTCTAGCAGAGCTTTCGCTTACATTTGGTTCGGCTCAGAGTTCTCCTCTGCATTGCCTTGAATGGGGTGGTTTGCCATCCATGCTCCCTATGTATGCTGCCATGTTGTGGATATTGATATCCAGTAGCTTCCTGGGCCTCCTGGAATGGACAGCTATGCGATGGAGTGGTGACTACCCCTGTCACCAGCATCCACAGACGCCAGGTAGGGAGTGCAGCGGGCGGGGGACGGAGCCACAAGCAGTCATGAACATGAAGTGTTCCAACAGGCTTCCTCTGGTCAGCAGTGCTACACCATGCAGCCTGATTCTGCTGTGTCATTTAACGTGCCTCTTGTTAACACAGGTTTTGTATGTGTTATGCGTTGTTCCACCAGTGGTGTGGCTGATTGTTGGCAAGAGCTGCCCCAGACAATTAAAGGAGAACTCAGGTCAGTGCTTTTCCCCATAGTTCTCCTAATGGTAACGGGAGGACACAAACTAGCGTCCTCCCGTCACCCAAAGCTCAGTATACCGCGAGCTACAGCTCGCCGTATACTGAGACGCCGCGGCTGGAAGGGATTCCGACAATGCTGTCTGGATCCACCCAGCTGCGTGAGTGACAGCTGACTCTGCCTATCTAGAGGCAGAGCCAGCTGTACCCTCCGCGCTGGAGGATCGGACAGGGGGGGAGGGGAATCCCTGCAGGCAGCCGTGAGTGACAGTCTCGGCTCTCTGCACGGATAGATCTAGAAGTGAGCGAGCAACGGTATGTGTTCGCTCACTTCCTGATCTACTGAGCCGACCTGTGACAGTTTCATTGTCACAGGTCGGCTCAGATTATGAGGCTGAGTGAAAATCACTCGCCTCATAATTCTCCTTTAAGCAACCTAATCACTTCTTCTTACACTGATTCATATGTGATTATGATTACATGCAGTTACAAAAACTATCACTATCCCTGGATACACAAATGTGTATCCAGGGATAGTGATTGATTCCTAACTGCATGTAATCCTTTCACATATGATTACATGCGATGTGCAGGCTTTTACATGCAGTAGCTGTCACCCGATCTTTAATTTGAATGGGTGACAGTTGCCGCTTGTAACATGTGCAGACATTAACACTGGTACCGTTGTCTTGCGATGGTTGTAAGGTAATTAAAAAAAGGTATGATCTGCCTATCTTGGACAGGCAGATCGTACTTGCGATGACCGCAATGCCAAACGGGCAGTCCGTCCGGCTTTTATCTTACGAACATGCTACATGCCCGCCGAACATCGTACGATGCTTGGCGGGTTTTCGAGCATGTTCTTAAGATAAAAGTCGTGCAACCTTACAGTAGTAGAGGTCGCACGGCTTCCACAACCTTACGATAATCGGACGATCGCGGGATTTCCTGCGATTATCATACGATTATCGCAAGGTGTGTGGGCACCCCTTAGACAGGCAGATCGTACTTGCGATCCTTGCTAAGGGGAGGGCTTTCGGTGATTGCAATGCTGAGCGGGCAGTGTGCCCTTGCGCACACCGTTCAGCATTTGACTTCCGAGCACGCCACTAACCTGCCGAAAATCTTACGATTTTCGGCAGGTTTTCCAGCGTGCTCGGAAGACAAAAGACGTGTGACCGTACAGTAGAAAAACGGTTGCACGCCTTCCATACACCTGCCGATTATCGTATGATCGCAGGATCACCCGCGATTATCGTACGATAATCGGCAGGTCTATGGGCACCTTAAGTGAAGTGGCATGCAGCGTCCCTTGCCATATGCTGACACCGGAGTAGAAGTCTTTTCTCTTGTCTACATCTCTTGCACAGCTTGATGCATACATTGGTAGACAAGCACCTGTAAGCATTTATTAGAGGTGCACCGAAATGGAAATTTTAAAACCGAAACAAAACCGAAATAAAAAAAATGTCAGGCCGAAACCGAAAATGTTTTTTATTTTAATTTTTTCAATATTTTAATTTATTTTTATAAACTTTAATTTTTTAATATTCATTTTTATTCATTTTTTACTAAATATTTTTATTTTTTACTTTACTTTTAGGCGCTTCGGGGAAATATTATAAGGTATGTTTCCCTTTTAAACTAGAAAAAGAGATTGAGAACACAAAGTCCTCAATCTCTTTTTCTGTCCCCTGTTATCAATGAACAGGAATCCTCTGAGTCTTCCTGTTCATTTATAACATGAGGACATAGTTTGTTTACTATAACTACAATTATGAATGAATGGGGGTGATGTAGAAGGCTCCCATTCATTCATAATTGAGGATATACTTAACATACCATATCCTCAATTATGTACAAACACTCAGTGATCGCTGAGTGTGTATACCTTGCTCTATTCTCTCTGACACGCTGTCACAGGAGGCTGATCGAGCGGTGTAGGGAGGAAAGCCCATCCTCCTGTGACAGTGCTGTCTCCGCCCCCACACCGCTCTGCCAGACTGTGATAGGCGGCAGAACGGTGTGGGAGGAGATGCCGGCCGCTCACAGCACTCTCCACTGCTGCGCTCGGTCGGCTGTCACTTTCTCTTCTCCCCGCTGGGACATAGAGCAGCGCTCAGCGGGGAGGAAAGATATCATGGATGCGCCGATGTATCGGCAGGAAAATGGCACTTTCGGCATTATGCCAAAAGTGCCATTTTCGGCCGATATCTTTCGGCGACCGATATATCGGTGCATCCCTAGCATTTATATAACGATACTGCTGCAAACTATCCAATTTACCTCTTTAAGGAAAGACATAACTGGGTTTTGATGGTTGTGAGCATCAGTATTGTGCATAACTGTTTCAAAATAACCAATTTAGTGAAAACATCTTTGGTTCATGAGGTAGTTATGGAACTTAGTGTTGCGCATACCTTATATGTTAGTATCACTATACTGTCGTTGGAATAAACGCTTTATTGCTTTAGTAAAAGCACCATCGGTTCATGAAATGGTTAATGCATCTCAGTTGGGCATACCTTATGTATTGGTGTTACTTTGCTGTTGCTGAGATAAAGCAAATAAATTGGTTAGTTAAAGA